GGGGGGTGGGTGGGGGAGCGCAAAGGGAGGTTGGGATGGGGGGAAATCGCGCGGCGACGTGAAGGGGATTGACATTTCTCATCCCGCGGGTCCCGGCGATGCTGTGGGCTCGGGCAGGAGGCAGGGCTGGTACCCCCAGGCCCTGCCAAGGTGCCAGCCCACCCCACGGCCTCCTCTGCCTTCAGCGCAGCAAAACCTGCACTAGAGCTCCAGCAGGAAAAGGCTGCTTTAAAGCAGATGGTGGATTTATTTCAAACACTCCTTCCCACAAACGCCCCGTCCAACGAACGAGCTTTTGGTTCCTCCCAGCCCTGCCCTGGGTGCAGCTTCACCTCCCAAAAGAGGGAACCTCTCTGTGTGCTCCCTTGGCTCCAAAATGTAAGGAGCTGTCTTGACAATGTGAACATGCCCAGATGGGGCCCTGTGAGCCCGGTGGGAGGTGAGGAGGTGCACAGGGCCTGGCACATCAGCTCCTAAGGGGGTCCCTGTTTGCCTGGCTGCTCCTTGACACCAGGCCTGACAAGGCAAACATCTCTCTCTCTCCAAGAGATTTACAACAGCAGCTGAAAGTGAAGATCTAGCCAGAATTTACTGTCTCTCCATCTTCTGTCTCAGAAGTCCTGTCTTTTTGGTTTTTTCCTTTTCACTGTAAGAAATGGGAGTCCCAGGGAACTCTTGCTGAGTTTGCTTTTCTGAGGCATGGGGGGGGGGGATGAAGGCAGCACAGAGTGAGGAAGGATTTATTTGAGCTGGCCACACCGTGTCTGCTTTGGTGAAGAGCTACAACTGATGGCAACAGCTTGGGTCTGGGCTCTACATCCCTCCCTGCTGCTGATTCCAGCAGCCATGCAGCTCCATGGTGCCTGGGGCTGCAGTTCCCTGGGATACACCCCGGGCTTGGGCACCTCTGGAGTGTAAGCCCTGGGAGCTGCTTCCATCAAACACCTGTGCCCAAACAGCAAGGAGGAAAGACAAGATCCAGCCCTTTATCAGGGGCTGGGATGCCCGACGAGCTTACAGGGAAAAAAATCTGCCACAGACCTTTCCTGGGCCCAGAGAGCCCCAGCCACCAGTTCCTCTCTGCTCCTCCAAGCTGTGGAGCTCTGCTGATGTGGAGCCACCTCAGGCAGAGACACTGTGGGAGAGCTGGGGAAGGGATTTTCTGCTGGGTTTCCTTCTAGCCCAGCTTTCCAACTGGAAGCACCCACAGAACTCAGCATTCCCTGTGGCTCAGCCCAGGGAAGCTCTCCCAGCACAGCTGAGCCCTCCTCACCACACGCAGCAGCAAACCACCTACTAAAGGCCTTTTCCTACCACTAATTTCCACTTGTCATGGTCATTTACAACTATACTTACAATATCTTAATCCACAGCTACTAATGAAGCTCCAAAGTGGTCGCTTTCAAGCTCCTCTGCCTGAGTGATTTTTAAGATACATATTAATTCAGATAATAAATGAACATTAGCTGGCACTCCATGAAACACCCGGGGGAGAGACTCAGACACGTGTTATTTTGTCAAGACTTTGCTGACACAGGATTTCTTGCCATCCTTTTTAACTAAATGCAGCAATAATATACAAACAATCAACTTCAGTCTCTCTCTTTTTTTTTTCCCTTTCCTAGGCAGCCCAGCCTGAAAACCTCTCCCACGAAGCATCCTGTTAATTTGATGAACACATGCACTTCTTCTAGGCTGGTTCCAGAAACAAGACCCCCAGATGTGTCTGTCCATTCAGCAGTGCTCAGGATGCTGTGGTTGATTTAGGAAAGTCACTTTATAGCTGCTTTTTTTTTCCCCCCTCTTTTTTTCCCCCATTTTTAAGCAGAGTATTGGTGCCAGGGACTTGACCACCTGCCAGCTCAGGAGGTTGTGAGGCTGGAACCCAAGATCACGTTTCAAATCCAGCTGTTTGATTTGTCCTACAACTTAAAATGCTTAAATGTCTATTCCCAATTAAAATGCTTAATTGTGAATGAAACCCACAAAATTCAACCTAAGCAAGTGTTTATTTATTTCTCTCTCTCTCTCCTTTCTTTGTTTCTAGAGAAAGGTTTCAACTAAAAAGTGGGACGCTGTGGATTTCCCAGTAAGAAAAACACCCCCAGGCAGATACCTGGCAGCTTAACTGTGGAGCTGCTGACAAGCTTGGTCTACCTGAAGAATCTTCATAAAATCTGTTCAGTTACAATGACAATTTGAAGGCTGCTTGTAAAGGGGACAGGCCAAATATTTTTCTGCTTCTTGCTTCCTAAACCAAAGCTGTCCCCAGCACACAAACTGGCCCTTCCAGATCCAATGGGCAGGTCAGAGAATGAGACCATTTTGTAGGAACCCCTCAGGTGCTGATGTTTGTTTTCTTATGTCTCACAGATTGAACAAGGTCTGTCTGGCATAAATAAGCAACCAGCAGAAGCAGGGAATGTGTTATTGCCAGTGCTGGGTTATCTGAGCCTGGCTTTAAACATGCAAGGAGTCTGGTCTGAAAGTTCTCCATTTGACATTCATCTGGGTTGCAAAGGTGAAACACACAGTCTACACAGCCAGGGGGTTTCAGAATTCAGGAAATAAACAATTAAATTGGCCTTTGGCACACGGACCTTCACAAAAGCTGGCACTTCCAACCTGCTCACAGGAGACAGAGCAAAACACAGCCCAGGTGCCTTTCTCCTCTGTGAAACCCACCTGAAGTCAGATCCCTGTGTCTCTAGATACACCCAGCTGGAACATGAGCCTGGGGAAATGGTTCCTCCCTTGCTGCAGCAGATAAACCACTGGGGCTTATGTTTAAAAACCCAGGAGTGAGGTCAGTGGCAATTTCAGGTTCCCTCACACTTCCCACCCCCCTCCCCCCCACAGCAAATCATATTAATTTACAGATTAGACAGAAAAAAAACACACCAGATCATGGCTGATGCAGTAAAGAAGCTGCAAATGAAATTTCCTCAGGAGTAGGGAATGGGTCCTTGTTCTTCATGAGGAATTTTCTCCTCTGAGATTCATTTTGTCACTAAGCAAATCAAACCTTTAAGCCAGGATAGGGGTAAGGAAAGGAGGAATCTTCCTCTTCTTTCGAATGAACTTACCTGTTGTGTACAAGGGATGAAGAAGATGGTGGGAAAAAGGAGCCACTGCATGTTCCTGCACACTGAGGAGTGGAGCTGGGAGATAGGGAGCAGGCTGGGCTGGGCAGAGGAAGCCCTGCACACAAAGCTCTCCTCTGTCTCCCTTGCCAACCCGACCTTCCCCAGCACACGCACGAACACATAGACACATTCACACTTGGAATTCTCCACTTCACACAGAACCAGCTCCACACTGACATTTCCAACTGGTCTTTCCTCTGCCTGATGCTGAAATGCAAATTTTCCCCCCCTGGTTGATCCCACCCAGCTGCTTCAGCAGGCTCTGCCTGGCTAACTGAGGTCGGGTAGGGTGACATCTGATTCCCAGGGTCCTGCTGCTGGAAACGCAGTTTAAGTCCATATTACAGGAATTTCTGAAATCCAACGAGAGCCCCAGATGCTTTTTGAGGCAGTTCCTAGGAATCCCTGCTGTGCTGTGCCTGGCAGGATCCTGGCAGGAAAGCAAACCCCATCAGTACCTGCAGGTTGCACAGGGAGGGACCCGCTCTGCTGTGACACGTCACACACTCTGCACTGCTGCTTCCCATGGAATCCTGATGGGGAAACCCAGACCCTAAGAAGGGACTTCTCCCTGGAGTACACACCTTGTCTCCCAGCCATGGCACTCATGCTTAAGCACAAACCCATTCCAGTCTCCAGGTTTCCTCCTGCCTGATAGGACTGAGGTGACACACCTGATGCTGGGGCTAAGCAACAAGGGTTTCCAGGGTAGGACCAAAGCTCCCTCCCTGCAGCAGTGATGTTGCTGGTGCCCTGGTGAATGTTTGTTTGTCCTCTCCCAGTCCCCACTGTGCAGTCCAGGAGTTGCAGAGGCTGCCCCAGCCCAGCTCCTGCAGAGCTGTGTGTGGACAGAGGGGGTGGTGGGAGCCCCACAAAAAAACCCAGCCTGAGCAGTTCTGCTTCGCTTCCACATCCCCTCTGCAGCTGCAAATGCGCCCTGAGCTGCCCTTCCAAAGGACCTGACAGCTGTAAATCCCTGGAAAACTGCTGTTCTTGAGCACCTCCACTTTGTCACACACTTCAACATGAGGGCCAAACAGAGCCCAGGTGCCAAGGGGATGAGCAGGTGGGTTCCTCTCAGCGAGGTGGCTCCAACGGTGCGTCCGTGCAGAGCAGGGCAGGTCTGGCTGCAGCCCCTGGTTCTGCTGAGGAGCTCAGGCACACAGCACCTGGCCTTCCCAAAAATCCCCCCTGTGTACTTGGAAAACACAGCTTGTTTGATAGGATCAGAGGACAGATGAAGTTGGAAGGGGCCCAGGAGGTCTCTAGTCCAACCCCTGCTGGAGCAGGGTCTGCCCTGAGATCAGACCAGGTTGCTCAGGGCTCTGTTTGGGTCTGAAAAACCTGCCAGGCTGAAGCTCTCCCAGCCCACAGCCATGAGCAGGGCCCAAGCACAGTTTTCTCCTGCAGACCCAAAGACAGCCCTTTTGTTCTCCAGCCTGGAAGAAACAAAGAAGGTCAGAGGACTAGGACATCCATCCCCACCCTCCTGGGGCTGCAGGGAAGCACAGAGCATTCATTTGGAATGTGTTGCTCCTCTTTGCATCACAGAAATAAAGCCTGTGGCCAGGGCAAGGCTGGCAATCACAGGGGAGTCACAGAACTGTCCTGGCTGGAAGGGACCTCCAGGGATCATCCAGTCCCACCCCACTCCAGCAGGACCCCCTGGAGCACATCCCACAGGGCTGCATCCAGGGGTGAATCTCTGCAGAGAAGGGGACTCCACAGCCCCCTGGGCAGCCTGTCCCAGGGCTTTTCCAATGCCCTGTGGGAGCTGGACAAGGCTGCTCTGCTGTGGATCATGGTTCCCATTCTTGGGAAACAGCAGAGGGCTTCCTGTAGGATCACCCATTTGGTTTATATGGTGTGTTTTGATGGAATTCACCTGGAGAGCACAACATCTTCAGGATTGGAGACTGAGACTTTGGAACTGGGGTTTGAGTATGATCAAGCCAGACCCACCCAGACGTGTTCCTGTGTGACCTGCCCTGGGTGTTCCTGCTGCAGCAGGGGGGTGGACTCAATGATCTTCAGAGGTCCCTTCCAACCCCTCTGATTCTATTCTTCCATGATTGATTCTAAGGTTCTCAGATGCTCAGTTTCTGTAAATCTGAGCCATTGTTGCTTCTGTTCAAATGATGTCTGAGCCACGAGCTGCGCTCAGAGAGGCTCCTGGAGCACCAACACCAGCACAGTCCTCAGTGCTGCTGAGGAAGGAACTTCTGACATGACAGGGTTATTGCCAGTGGGACAGAAATCCATCTTCTCCTCCATAGCCACCACAGCAGGGCCATGGGCAGCACTGAGAGCAGTGCTGAGGGCTCAGAGTGCTCTGCCAACACGCTTCCCACAGCGCACTGCTCTTCTCTTCCAGCTGTTGTCTTCTTCCACACTCCTCCATAAAGCTGCTCTGAGCCATAATACCTTATTTATGAAGATATTGACATGCTCATTTGAGATGTCAAAGCCCCATTTTCAAAACTGACTGACAAACCTAGACAACTGGTAGGTAGTTGTCTGGACCCTGTTTTCTTCTCACAGGCAGCAGACAGAAAAGATGCCATAAAATGCCCATGTTCCTGAGGACCCATCTCTGAAATGTTCCACCTTTCCATGATGTTAAACAGGAAACTCTCAGAACTGTTTGAGCTGGATGGAGCAATAGAGGCTGAGCTTTCATTTCCCTTGTTAGCAGATCTTTTAAAAGTATCTGTACCTGCTGAAGAGGCTTAGCCTGCAGTCAGTCCAGAGAGGCACAGACTGGAAAATACAGGCCAGAAAGAGAGAAGGCACAGACAGAAATAAAAATTCAGGGAAACTGGGGACCTACCAAGCAAGGCAAAGCAGTGTAACCATGCTGAGGAAACCTGTTACCTGCTGGGACTGGCCAGGAGTTCTGCAGAGTGCAGCAGCTCTGCTTGCCCCTTTTAATTTGAGGCTGAATCCGCCGTGATGGAATGAACCCAGCTCAGCTCAACTCACCCTGGCAGAGCAGCTCCTCTCCTGGCAGCCTGGCTCTGTGGCCCCCTGACACCAGCAGCTCCAGCCTGGGATACCTTCCTGCCTCTGGAAATGGCATGGCTTTCCCTGGGGAGCAGCACCCTCAGGACACAGGGTGAGCAGGGCAGGACACACAGAAACTGCCCCCAAGGCTCCTTCTGTTCTCAAAGGGTCCCCATTGTCACGGGAGGAAACAGAGAAGCAGCTTCCCCAGCTCCTGGGCTGTTTGCACAGGCAGTTTGTGTGCCAGCTGAAAAACATTCCTGATGGAAATGAAAATAAGGTCCTGGCCAATGTCCTACCCAAACCTTCCAGGAGGGGAGGGCACAGGAGACACACAGAAGAAGAGCTGTACTTTTTTCCCAAACCCACTGGTTGGCAACACCAACCAGTGTATTTTTTTATTCCCAGTACATCTGCTATTCAGCTCTTGAAAAAAAAAAACATCCCACCTCGATATTGGTGTGTTCCCACTGCTATCACCAGGTTTATTTTGGCATAAAGTCACCTGAAAGACAAGCTCAGCTCTTCACTCTGCAGGGGAAGGACGTGATGGTCTCTGCAAGCCAGAGACACCCACTCATCTCAGGGCCCTCCCTGGAGCTGGTGCCCATTCTGCTTGGAAAGGCCCTTCTCTGGAGATACTCACCCCTGGATGCAGCCCTGTGGGATGTGCTCCTGGGGGTCCTGCTGGAGTGGGGGTGGGACTGGATGATCCCTGGAGGTCCCTTCCAGCCCTGACAGGTCTGTGATTTTGTGTTTTCTGTTGAGAGCCCCAAGGAAGGTTGGTTAACCTGGCTCCTGGATCTTTTTCTCTGAGGAAAATCTGGAAGGCAGGGCTTAGAAACTGCTCATTGAAGAAGCTGCTGCAGCTGCAGAGGACATTCCCTCCCTGAAACAGGCTGGTGGGATTTTTGGAAAAGCTGGTGTGTTCCCAGAGGGGACCCTGCACTCTTCTTCCAGCAGCCTTGTCCTGTCTCACACTATAACTCTTACTGCTGTGACAAAACAGAGGCAAATTTCCCTTCTGAAAGCTGGGAGGCAGCTAAAGGAAGGCACTGCAGAAACAACAGGACAAAGCTCCTACCCATCCTGAACTTGAGAGCTTTGCCCACCCCCCAAAAGTTCTTCCCCACAACAGAGTCATTCAAAACCACTTGGGGAGCTTGGCCCTGCCCCGACTGCAGCTGAAGCCTGGCAAAAATGATGGGGAGCCAAGGCAAAAATGATGAGGAGCCAAAGCAAAAATGATGGGGAGCCAAGGCAAAAATGATGGGGAACCAAGGCAAAAATGATGGGGAGCCAAGGCAAAAATGATGGGGAGCCAAGGCAAAAATGATGGGGAGCCAAAGCAAAAATGATGGGGAGCCAAGGCAAAAATGCTCCCCTGAGTGATGCATCTGCTGGAAGGCAAGGTGACAGTGGGACAGCCTGGGACAGACATGCAGGGCTGGGTGACACTGAGCCATGACATGGGAGGTGACAGGAGGGGCAGGAGCTGCAGTCCAGCCCTTTGCCAGAGGCACAGACAGGCTCAGAGCCCAGAACTGCACGGGTAGGGAGGGGGAAAGCTCCACTGCCAACTCAGATCTCATCAGAACCTGACTGAGCACCCACGTTGCCAGCCTGAGCTTCCCCAGCCAGGAGGGAGGGCACAGGGACACCCCAGGCCAGGCAAGCAGGTTGCACATGGGTTGCAACTCCTCAGCTCCACACACAACCCACATGGGTCTCCAGGCATCTTCAAAGAGCTGGACATGGATGTTTCCTCTGGGATTTCCTCCAGCCACTCACACTGTCCCTGCCCATGGTCAGGGTGGATCTGGCACCTCTAAAGCAGTGGGGGTGGAGACACCAACCCCTCCAGTTTTGGGGTGAGTTTGGCAGCACAGACATGAGCTGTGCTGTCCCTGCTGCACCCAGGGCCAGCTCATGGTCTGGTTTATAATAGTGGAGAGACAGCCTCTGGGCCCAGAAGGTGCCTGCTTGTTTGTCCAGGTACCTTCTGCTAACAGGACCTGGAGTCTCCTACTACAGAGATCTGGAGTCTCCACTATATGGAGAAACTGCCATTATTAAAGCTGACTTTATTCAGCCAGTGTTACAGCCACCAGCAGTCACCAACTTCTGTCTCCAAATTTGTTGGGAGACAAGAAATATTCATGATAAGGAATGTTCTTCAAGTGGAAAGAGTTTAGCAAACCAGGCTGTTCATCTGAGAAGTGGCAATCTGGGAAAGGACAGAACAGCAATGGGTTAATTCAGCTAAGAAGAGAAATACTTATTATTTAAGTGCAGCTGAAGCCACTGGAGCTGCAGGAAGTGTCTCTACTGTGACCATCACTGTGGTTTCAAAAGAAACAAATGTTGAGTCTTGGGAGATATTTGGTGCTGTGCATATAACATCTGCCCATGTTTGCTGCCTTTTCTTCCTCAGCCCTTACTCTTACATCAGATAAATACTGAGGAACCCCATAAACACATCTCCCTTTATCCAGTCCAGTCTTGCTGGTGCAGATAATGACCATGCCCCTCTCAGATCTGAGAAGCCAGCAGAGTCACCCCCTCCTGTGCCAGGCAGAGCAAACTGGCCCCTCAGTCTCAGGAAACCCCAGAACCCCAGATTTCTCTCCCACCTGATGTGGCTCCAGGTTTCACTCCTGGTTCTCCCTCCCAGAGTTTTGGGGAGGGTCCCCAATCACCTCCTGCATCTTCTGTCACCCCCGTCCCCAGGGCTGGGACAGGAGAGGGGTCTGCACTTCAGGAACCAGCCCTGATAGCAACATGTGGCAGGAAAACACACGAGGGGGGGGGGAAAAAAAGCCAAACTGCTGCTTTGAGGTTTGCATTTGAAAAAGTGGCCAAAATGGGCTCCATGACAGGGCTGGGCCCAGGAGGGACCTGCCTACAAACTGCCCCAGCCCACCTTCCCATGCAGGGCAGCAGGACCCCAGCTCCCAGCCACAAAAAGGCAACACAGCTCCATGATTTGCCTGGAAAAGCTACAGGTTTGGGCTGCAGGGCCAGGACTCCTGGGAGCATCATTCGTCCACAGCAGAAAGAGCAGCCCTGGGTTGGCAGGGGAGCAAAGCAGCCCCTTCCCCACCAGGGATCAGTCCTGCCAGGGCAGCACACCCAGCAGGCATGCCACAAACTGCAAAACTCATGGAGCTGTTTTGAAAAGCACATGATTTAAAAATAAATAAATAAATACATATAAAGGACATTATTTTAAATATCTTTCTGTTTACTCAGTCTCTAGACTTCTGGTCCCTGAGGTCAGCTCTGCAGCCAAAGGGCTGCAGACTTTTTCCAAAAACCAAAGCCAAGCTCCTCAAGGCCTGTTTAGTCTCACAAACGGAGATTTTTAAGAAAAAAAAACACTGAAGATCACAAGACTCACAAGATTTTCTGGACTTGGCATCACAGATGATTTGTCATGTAAGCCTGCACAGAAAGATGGTTTCAAAATCATCAGGAATGCTCTCTGGTTTTATGGAAACGCCTGAAGAACTGAGTACTGGATTTTCCTATTTAACCCTTTTCTACCCTCACCTTTCCCTTTTCCCTTCTTTTCCCTTCCCTTCCATTCCTTTCCCTTTTTCCTTCCCTTCCCTTTTTTCTTCCCTTCCCTTTTTCCTTCCCTTTTTCCTTCCCTTTCCCCTTTCCTTCCCTTTCCCCTTTCCTTTCCCCTTTCCTTTCCTTTCCCCTTTCCTTTCCTTTCCTTTCCTTTCCTTTCCTTTCCTTTCCTTTTTCCTTTCCTTTCCTTTCCTTTCCTTTCCTTTCCTTTCCTTTCCTTTCCTTTCCTTTCCTTTCCTTTCCTTTCCTTTTTCCTTTCCTTTCCTTTCCTTTCCTTTTTCCTTCCCTTCCCTTCCCTTCCCTTTTCCCTTCCCTTCCCTTTTCCCTTCCCTTCCCTTCCCTTTTCCCTTCCCTTCCCTTCCCTTCCCCTGGGATCCGTGTGGCACCTGAAGTGCTCGGTGTATTTAGATGCTCAGCGTTTCAGGATGTGGCAGGGTCAGGGAGCATTCAGCCCTGGCTGTCCAGATGGATTCAGCTGGGAAACTTTGACTCCTGTCTTCAGTGTATTTCCTAGTTGGGATTCTGGAATGACATGACTGGGGCTAAATACTAACCTGACTTTTTCTGTCGTGCAACTGGATAGACAGAGAAGGGAAATAAATGCAAAGCACAAGAAAAAATCAATTTGTAAAATAGGTCAAAAGAGTTTTGTCAGATTTCCTCCTTTGAAATCCCCCCCCCCAAGCTGTGTTAACCTAGTTAAAGCAACAAGGAGCTGGCATGGCTCACTGCCAGTGGGTTCCCAGCTGCCTTAGCAAGAAATGGGAAGCAGCAAAGAATTGTGCTGCTCTGCATCTTGTCTGAGCTGCCAGGAAGGAGCAGCCAGGGACCAGAGCGGAATTCCCTCTGCTCCAGAGCTCTGAATGCCTACAAAACGTGGTTCCAGGCATCACGAGTGACCCAACACAGGCATCTTTAAAGCTGGGGAGTCTGTGTGTCCTCCAGCACCAGCCCTTTCACACCAGAGGAGCTGGGCAGGAGGCAAGAGGCACAACCACCCCAAGGCCTTCGCGCGCCCCGACATCCCCGCCTGTAACTGCTGCCGCTCTCTGTAACTCTGGTCTCTCCCCTCCTGCTTCCCCCCAGTTTAATAAATGAGCTTCTTGCAGCATTTGCTGAGCTGCAGACAAACGTGCCCTGCAGGAACATGCCTGTGGAAGCTGCAGCTGCTTTCCCTCGTGCCCGTACGCAGGGACACCCGACGAACGTGCCTCGGCAACGGGAAGAAATCCTGATTCCAGCACTGCCCTCCAGCTTGCCAGTCCCTTTCACTGAAAGGTGCCAGAAGCTCCAGGGTTCCTGTCCTCCCAACAGCACGTGCCACTTTCTCAAGGTCACACAGCTCACCCTGCACTGCTCTCCCTGCATGGATCCCTGACTCCCCTGGCATGTCCCTCATCTCCCAGCGAGGGACACACTCCGGTGGCACAATCTCGTGCCAGCCTCTGGAAATTGTCTCTTTTCTGGGAGATTAAGTTCTTCCCTCCTAATTACAAGAAT